ATGCATAGAAGCATGAAAATGTAAAAGAAAACAAACAGAAATCAGCTAACCAAATTTTTGAACTATAGGAGAGAGTTCATTTGGGTTTGGGTAGGCGGAGATCCCTTTTTCATCTGAACCGATTGTTCCCTTGCTTCTAGAAAGAACTCTTTGTTGTGTTTTGTAAATGAGCCTTCATGGAAATAGTTCATCATGTCTTCACAAAGAGCTGGGATTATTATTTTTTTCCACGAGAAAGAGTTTGAAACATCATGGCAAAAATGTTGAAGAGAAGAACATGGTTTTGGATTAGGGCACAATAGCTGAAATTGAAAATAATTAATGAGAACATTCTTATAAATGTGGGTAACAAAATGAATGAATTATACTATATTATAATAGAGTCAGGAAACCTTTGAAAGCCAGAAGTCTGACAGAATGATATAAAGGGATCAACGTGCAAATTGCAGTATTACTGCTCTGATACCATTTTTCTAAAGAGAAACATTATAATTACAGAGCCAATTATCTCAATCTGTAATAATGCACCGAGTAAGTGTCTGTGAGTTCATACTGAAACTTATTTTAAGGGTCAGGGAACAAAACCACAGGTTAGAAGAGGAAAACTGCTGAGTATTTTAATTTGAAGCAAAGAACAACCCACAGTTTTAGGCTGTGCTCAAGAGGAAGAACCTTATATACAGAAAGAATTTCTTTTAGTCTAAAAAACAGAAAGAAAACAAAAACCGATCTATCAAAGTCCATTTTTACACCCCTACACACACACCAATTTTTTTCCCTGCAAAGTAAAAAACAACTTTTATTAATAGAAATGTTCACTGAGTTATATAATTGAAGAGCCCAGAGGCAAGTCTGATGACAGGCATGAGTCCTGGCAGGACTACAGCTCTATTTTCTGGTTACTTTCTGCCAATGCCCATTCACAGGTTTTCTTAGGCCTCAGACTTAATGTACAGAATGGCTGCTGCTGTGCTCTTGTTCACCTTCAGGTTGAAGGAGAACATCAGGTCTGATCACCATCAGATAAACCCCTGATTTAGGCCAGAGTATACAAGCTCTTATTTATTGAGACTACCACTTATTCCTCATCCAAACCTGCAGAAAAGGGACAAGGTCATGTTGATTGAATGATGTCTGGCTTACCCATGAAACTTTGTATGGGTTTGCTATCATCAAAACCATAAAATGAATAAAATTGGAGAAGACCTTTTTCCAAAAGTCTAGATGCTTTTAGAAAAAGTGGCATGGCTAGTGAATAGAAAGTAACTACTACTTATGACAATATATTCTAGGTATAGAGATAATTTTGTGTATAAGAAAGGCCATAAAAATGGGACTCCACAATAAAATGATTTTGTTTTCATATGTAATTGTTACTGATTAGATATTTATAAATTCAAATTTAATGCTTTACACAAGTCCTTATTCTTATAAAATTAAATCTGTATACTATTTGCATTCAAAAATTTAAAGTTTGAAATTCTATGCTACTTTGTAATAATTTGTTCTCATTGCTACCTTTTCAGTTCCTTTTGCCCAAATGAAACTCTAAACATTTTCCTTAAAATACACACACACACACACACACACACACATTCAGAATATCCGAAATGAAATTAAAGAAGGTTAATTTTACTTTAAAAATATGGGAGGCCAATTCCAAGATGGCTGGCCAGAGAGAGGCAGCATTCTGTGTCGCTCAGTGACCCAGGTCTCACCTAGCCAGAATACTGCATCTCAGACAGTGTAAGAGGACCCCTATACAGCTGATTTCCACGGAAATCACCAGTGCAGTGACCCCCATGCAGGACTCAGAGCCTCAGTGCTCGAGTAGGACCCCAGAACCCTGGAGCTGGAAACCCAAAGCCCGCAGTCCTAGCTCACCATGGCTCTCAAGCGGCTTAGCAGAATTACCTATGAACACCTCTGCAGAAGTCCAGACTGCGCTCCGCTCCCATGCAGGCCACTCTGCTACTACCTGAGCACAATACAAGGCCATCTCCCAGCTCCCTCTACCTCACCAGACACCCTCCCCCTGGAAGCAGACCGACTCCATCTTGGATAACCTTTATGGCCATATTTGGTGGGGGCATCTTTCAGCTCTTAGATCGGATCTCCATCTGGCCAGATACAGGTATCCAACTACCTCCCCCCCCCCCCCCGAATGGGGATTTTGGCACAGTGACCACTCAACACAAAACAGCTCCCAGATGGGCAATCTGTAATAATGCACCGAGTCACGCAGGTGTGCAGTGTGACCAAGGCGCTGCCCATCTGCTGTGAGCCTGGGTGTGAGAGGTCACACAGGTGGGAACTGCTAAGTGAGAGGGGATGGGACTAAAGTTTGGAGCCTAACAGGGAGATCAGGAGGTGGGAAATCTCCAGGCAAGAGAGGGAGACAATACAGGGCGCTCAAGTCAGAAGAGCAGTCCCAAAAAGAGACCCGTAAGGTGCAGTCTCCCTGCAGAGATCAGCGGATGGCACTCCCCACTTTCCTACACCAGGATCAGTCTTCCCACGCTGGTTACCTACACCATCCTGAGGGCAGAGACACCAGCTTAAAATAGCCCCACTTGTTGGATGAGAAGAGAAACAGAAAAGAAACAGATCTCTAAAACTAGAAACAACCCTAATTTCTTCATTTGTGTATTTTTTTTTCTCTTTCTCTTCTACCCCTCTACCCTCCCCAAGAACTCTGCATGAAATAGGATTTTGAGGACTGAGTCTTCTGAATAATATAATATAGAGGTGTTGTATATACCCTTTTTCCCTTTTTCTTTTCTCTTCTTCCATTTTTCTTTCCCCCTCCAAAATTTACTATTTTAACATCCTGTGGTTTTCTAAATATATATAAGTGTTTGTTTTATGTACTCTACTATCTTCCCATGTACTTGTCTACCATAAATAACTTCTTGTCTATTCTCTTGCTACTAACTCTCTTCATTAGATTTCTCTTTCACATTTCCCAAGATATATTAACTCTATACCCTCACATCTTTCCTCCTCAGCATATTGTCCTACGCCCCACCCCAGTTCATTGTCCACAGTCAGAAACTGTAAACCTTTTTAAGAAATTACTGATTATATTTTAGATAATAATTGATTCCAACATTTCTGTACATTGAGACTGTACACTGTAAATGTCTTAATAACAACAAATTGTTCATGGGTGATATATTGTTGATACTGGGATCAGTTAATATTGTCCTTCCCCACAAGGGATTGGAACCCTACAAGAGCACTACAAACCTAAAGGGTAAAAACAATAGCACCCCAAACCCACAGAGCTGGAAAGGAAGACACATGAGCAACATGAAAAGACAAGGGAAGAAAGTACCACAAACAAATCAAGAGACCACATCATTAGAATCATTAGCAGCCACAACAGAAAAAATCACAGAGAAAGAGTTCAGGATATTCATGGTTAAAATGATCTGTGAAATCAAGGAAGATATAAGAGAGCAAATACAAGCAATGAAAGATCATTTCAACAAGGAGTTACATCAACAAAACAGGGAGATAGAAGTTCTAAAAGTTCTAAAAAGAGAGAGAGAGAGAGAGAGAGACCCTTGAAATGAAAGAAGCAATAAACCAAATTAGAAGCTCAAATGAAAGCATCGCCAACAGAGTATACCACTTAGGAGATAGGACATCAGACAATGAAGATAAAATATATAATCTTGAAAAGAACATAGATGGCACAGTGATAATGGTAAGAAACCATGAGAAGAATATTCAAGAAATATGGAATAGCATAGACCAAATTGAAGAATTATTAGGATAGAGGAAGGCACAGAGGTCCAAACCAAAGGAATGAACAATCTAATCAATAAAATAATATCAGAAAACTTTCCAAACATGAAGAATGAATTGGAAATACAAATTGAAGAAGCCTACATGATGCCAAATGTACAAAATCACAACAAATCTACACCAAGGCACATTATAATAAAAATGCCCAACATACATAGTAAGGAGAGAATTTTAAAAGCCACAAGATAAATGAAACAGATTACATATAGGGGAAACCAATTAGGAGAACAGCAGATTTTTCTTTTTTCTTTTTTTTTTTTTTCATTTTTATAAAAATGTGTTTTATTTTAAAACAAGTTTATAAAAGTAGAAATCACATACAAAAATACAGATTACTCCGACATGTTGGCAAAATAGCTTATGGCTGGACTTGAGTTTGGAAGTACAGGCACTGTATGTTTGAGGGCATCCGGAAGTAAGTCCAACCGGATCCTACCACCAGCCCTTGTCACTAATCTGTAAACAATAATTTCAAGTAGTATTTAGCACTTTTTTAGCTAATAAGAAATAGACACATAATCATCTCCTTGTGTAACACTACTTTAAAATTTTCTTCCTTAGGTCTGAGCAGATAAGGGCACTTCATGCTACTGTTTTTAACATTTAAAATCTTTGATTAAAATAAAACCAGTTAATAGAAAAATGATGGATTTTGGCTTTTTTGTTACATTTTGCACATATGGGGAGGTCACTGACTTAAAACTAGTGTTTTTGTGATTTTTAAAAAGCAGAGCTTGATCTTTTTGTCTTGATGAGAGAGGTTTTTTAAAAAACAAACCCACTCATATTACTAAAAGGTTCAACACCTGAGTACTAACTCTTACATAGGTGCCAGTGCAGACTGTCCTGAAACTGCATGGAAAATACACTTGCTTCTAGTGTGTACTTCTGATTTACCGGAACAAGCAATTCTTAAGATCAATAACCCTATAAAGTGGGTAGTTTCAAACAATTATTGCAAAAGACCATATTTAAAAAAGGCAATTTAAAATACTTGATTCCAGAGTAATATACAAATAAACTTAGCACTAAAGGAAAACAGCAGGCGGTATCAGTTCAGAACTCTTCCAATTTTTCAAGAATAGAGACTGAATAGGTTAATACCACCTTCCAAAAACAAAGCAACTCATTTAAAAGCTAAACAACTCATGTTAACATAATTTGATTAGAAAATTAGAAACCACAATTATATTTCAGGAACACAGTACCTTAGTGATATTAAAGGATACTTCTGATTAACCTGGCATAGAAAATTACTTCTTGAGCCTTCACATCCTATACCAACTCTATACCTCTGGCCATATGTTTAATTTGTTTGAGGGTTTAAGATGTGGGGATATGTTTCTGTTAAGCTAATTCCAAATCTTAAGATAGAAATGAAATGTTTTTTTAAATTCCCAGATACCTTAAATGCTACTATCTTATGACTCTTTCTGTTAAGCTCACCCTACACATAGCTTATTGTTCTTCCAAACTATGTCTTATTAAACAATACTGAAAAATTAAATAGATAAAAAAGTTATCACAAAGGCTATAAAAATCATTAGCCGTAAGTCATTTTTTAAGCTTGATTCTAAATAAGACTTAATCCAAAGGGCACTTGGAGAAAATGGCACAAATTTTGCTATGTAAAAAAGTAAATTGAAATCATAGGCTCAAACTCCTAAAATTTCTGATGGCCTACAACTTAGGTTCTTAAGGGCATAGCATTGATAGAAACTTTTATAGTTATTTAAAAAAAGGCAACACTTCATTGTTTTCCCCTGAAAATGGTTTCCTAATTTACTTGCAGGATAAAGGTTAAGGGAAAACGAATAATAAAAACTAGCCCAGTGCTCAGTAATTGGGCTTCCTGCCTACTTTCCCCATTCCAAAGGAAGAGGAGACACCATCCTACAAGAAATAATTTCATAGACAGCTGGGCTTTTGCAGTGTCAGTCGGCGCCTGATGCCCCATATCTCCTGGTTCTTTTTGTTTCCGACAGTTGGCCTGGCAATGGTGGTGAAATAGGAGCAATTAATTTGCAGATGAGGAAGGGCTTCCCGTAACAGTTGAAGGGTACCATCTGGCACGATTCCAAAAACTTGTAGTGTTTTTAGTGTGGGAATTTCTCCAAGTTCAAGTAGAGTTTCAGGAATTATATCATAGCACCGACTGAGTGACAGGTGTTGGAGGTAGCTGAGCTGGAGAAATTCTGGAAAGCAGTCATGCTTTAGCATGACACTGTCACTTAAGTCCAGATGGACAAGGTTGGGGCATCTTCTAACTAAAGTAGAGACATCTGATTTCTGAAGATTCTTTCGGTAGCCACTAAGATTCAGCTGGGTGATGGTCTCTGACACATGTGCAACAGCCACCTGCACGTGCTTTTCAGTGAACTCATAGCACCAGGAGAGGTTCAGCTCATCCAGTCTGGAACAGCTGCTTAGCAGAGTCTTCAGGGCAGACTCAGAAAATCCAGAACACCCACAAAGGTTGAGTCGTACTAAATTTGAGTTCTGCGCAAGATTATTGACAATGGGATCAGAAAGCTGTAGGCCTTCCAGGCTTAGATTCTGCAACTTGGAGCACTGAGAGAGAATGCCATGGAGGGTAGATACGTTTATAACTGAGTTAGACAGATCCAAGTGCTGGACACGAAAAGGGCTGCAATGTTCAACCAAGGGTTGGTCCACAAATGATCGGGGGCAGCGGAAGGCCACCACGCCTCGAGACAGCAGACGAACAATCACATCTGGGTGCAGATTTTTACCTGTGAGGTCCAGGGTTTGCCAGAGAGATTCATCAAACGCGAGGCAGTACCACCTCTTACAAACACCGGAGACTTTCAGCAGATCGGGGAGGCAAAGACAAGAGAAGATCCCCAGGAGCAGCTCATCTGGGAGGGAGTCCCACGAAACACCGGGGAAGTTCTCTCGATTGAGTTTAGGCCTGCGAATGATCACAAAGTCTTTGTCACTCCCTTTGCTTTTCAGCCGTTTCCGTGTGGGGCTCTGAGGGTGGCCCAGGTTAGAGAGCAGTTCCTGGGGGATGTTCTCACTGTCCACCTCCTCCTTCTCTAGGGCGGAGACCCCCATGCCTGACAGCAGTTCAGAAGTCTTGCTAGAATCCCATCCCCACGTGAAGCTGGTGGTAACGTTGCTACTCTGGTCCGGAATCTCCTGGAGGTGCTTCCTGTGCATGGCGTCCACAGGTTCGGGAGTTTTAAATACCTGCATTAATTGCACAACTGCCCGCCTCCCAGATTCCGGCTTTGGCGCGCGACAGCTCCCAGCGTGCGGTTCCAGCCCCCAGCAGCCAGACCCGCGCACTCTAGCAACGTTCCATTCTTGCCAGAACAGCAGATTTTTCAACACAGATCCTGAAAGTTAGATGATCCTGGAACAACATATATCAAGTTCTGAAAGAAAATGGGTGACAATCAAAAATCTTGTATCCAGCAAAATTAAGCTTTAGATTTGAAGATGAAATAAAAACTTTCCATGATAAACAAAAGATAAAAGAATTTATAGCTAGAAAACAGACACTATAAAACATCCTTGGCAAAATATTTCATGAAGAGGAAATGAAAAACAACAATGAAAATCAGCAGAGGGAGTAGTACCCTAAAGGAAAAACTAATCAAAGAATAAAATCAAGTCAGGTTAAATAACAAAAATAAACAAATATGGCTGGAAATACAAACCATTTCTCAATAATAAACCTGAATTTTAATGGCTTAAACTCACCATAGGCTAGAAGACTGGATTAAAAAAAAATACCCAACAATATGCTTCCTCCATGAGACTCATCTGATAGGAAAAGTCATACAGAGACTGAAGGTAAAAGACTGAGAAAAATCATACAACTCACATTGACTTCGGAAGCAAGCAGGGGTTTCCATCATCATATTAAATAAAGTAGACTTCAAGCCAAGGTTAATCAAAAGGGATAAAGATAGACATTACATACTGCTCAAGGGAGCCATATACCTATAAGACATAACAATCATAAATATATATGCCCCCAAACAATGGTGTAGCTATGTTCATCAAACAAACTCTTCTCAAGTTCAAGAGTCAAATTGACCACAACACAATAATCTTGGGTGACTTTAATACACATCTCTCACCACTGGATAGATCTTCCAAATGAAAGTTGAATAAAAAAAAAAAAACTATAGAACTCAATAACTCAATCAATAACTTAGAATTAACTGACATATATAGAATATTTCAACCAGCATCAAGCAGATACACTTTCTTCTCAGCAGCATGTCAATCCTTCTCTAAAATAGACCATATACTTTGCCACAAAGCAACTCTTAGCAAAAACAAAAAAATAGAGATGCTACCATGCATTTTATCAGATCATAATGGAATGAAACTGGAAATCAATGACAAAGTAATAAATAAAAATTTCTCCATCACCTGGAAACTAAAATATATGCTACTGAATGAACAGTGGGTTGTAGAAGACATCAAGGAGGAGATTTAAAAATTCTTAGAGGTAAATGAGAACATAGACACAACATCTCAAAATCTCTGGGACACTATGAAAGCAGAACTAAGAGGAAAATTCATTCCATGGAGTTCATTCCTTAAAAGAAGAAAAAGTCAACAAATAAATGGCCTCACACTACATCTCAAAGCCCTAGAAAAAGAAGAACAAATCAGCAGCAAAAGCAGTAGAAGGCAAGAAATAATTAAAATTAGAGGTGAAATCAATGAAATCGAAAGAAAAGAAACAATTGAAAAAATTAACAAAACAAAAAGAAGGTTCTTTGAAAAAATAAATAAAATTAACATACCCTTAACTATGCTAATGAAGAGAAGGAGAGAGAAAACTCAAATTACCACCATACCTGATGAATATCACAACAGACAATACAGAAATACAGAGGATAGTTAGAAATTATTTTCAAAACTTATACTCCAGTAAAATAGAATACATAGAAGGAATCCACAGATTTATTAAGTCATACAATTTGCCCAGATTGAATAAGGAAGATATACACAATTTAAACAGACCATTATCAAGTGATAAAATAGAAGACGCCATCAGAAACTTACCAACCAAGAAAAGCACAGGACAGGATGGATACACGGCCACGTTCTACCAGACCTTTAAAGAAGAACTAATACCAATACTCTACAATTTATTTCAGGAAATAGAAAAAGAGGCACCACTTCCAAACTCATTCTATGAGGCCAATATCACCCTGATCCCCAAACCAGGCAAAGACACATCAAAGAAAGAAAACTTTAGACCAATATCTAATGAACATAGGTGCAAAAATTCTCAATAAAATTCTAGCAAATCGAATACAAAAACATATCAAAAAGATTATGCATCATGATCAAGTGGGATTCATCCCAGGGATGCAAGGTTGGTTCAACATATGAAAATCAATAAATGTAATTCATCACATCAATAGACTCAAAGATAAGAATCATATGATCATCTCAATAGATGCAGAAAAAGCATTTGACAAAAAAAAGCCCCCCTTCATGTTTGAAACACTAGAAAAAACTAGAAATAACAGGAACATATCTCAACATGGGAAAGGCTATCTATACTAAGCCTCAGGCCAACATCATTCTAAATGAAGAAAAATTAAAGGCATTCCCTCTAAAAACTGGAACAAGACAAGGATGCCCTCTTTCACCACTTCTGTTCAACAAAGTTCTTGAAACACCAGCATAGCAATTAGACAGAAGAAAGAAATTAAAGGGATATATATAGGGAAAAAAGAACTTAAATTAGCACTACTTACTGACGATATGATTTTATACCTAGAAAACCCAGAAAGCTCCACCAAAAAATTTCTAGAACTAGTACATGAATTCAGCAAAGTAGCAGGATATAAAATCAATACCCATAAATCAAAGGCATTTCTGTATATCAGTGGCAAATCCTCTGATAATGAAATGAGCAAAACTGCCCCATTTACAATAACCTCAAAAAAAAAAAAAAGATACTTGGGAATCAACTTAACAAAAAGGTGAAAGATCTATACAATGAAAACTACAGAACCCTAAAGAAAGAAATCAAAGAAGACCTTAGAAGATGGAAATATCTACCTTGTTCTTGGATAGGCAGAATTAATATTATCAAAATGACCATACTACCAAGAGCACTATGCAGATTTAATGCAATTCCAATCAAAATCCCAATGGCCTTCCTCACACAAATAGAAAAAGCAATCATGAAATTCATTTGGAAAAATAAAAGACCTAGAAGAGCTAAAGCAATCCTTAGCAGAACCTTAAACTATACTACAGAATAACAGTAACAAACACGGCATGGTATTGGCACCAAAACAGACTAGTAGATCAATGGTACAGAATAGAGGACAGAGAGACCCACAAAATTACAATTATCTTACATTAGACAAAGGTGCCAAAAACATGCATTGGAGAAAAGATAGCCTCTTCAACAAATGTTGCTGGAAAACTGGAAATCCATATGCAACAAAGTGAAATTAAACCCCTATCTCTCACCATGCAGAAAATTCAAATCAAAGCGGATCAAGAATCTAGGAATTAAAACAGAAACACTGATCTAGTAGAATAAAAAGTAGGCCTTAATCTTCATCATGTGGTATTAGGCCCCAACTTCCTTATTAAGACCCCTATAATGTAAGAATTAAAACCAAGAATCAATAAATGGGATGGAATCAAACTAAAAATTTCTTCTCAGCAAAAGAAACAATCTGTGAAGTGAACAGAAAGCCTATATCCTGGGAGCAAATGTTTACCCCTCACACATCAGATAGAGCACTAACCTCTAGGGTTTATAAAGAACTCAAAAAGCTAACCGCCAAAAAATCAAATTACCCAATCAACAAATGGGCCAAGGATCTGAACAGACACTTCTCAGAAGAGGATATACTATCAATCAGCAATATATGAAAAAATGTTCATCACCTCTAGCAATTAGATAAATGCAAATTAAAACTACTCTAAGATATCATCTCACTCCAGTCAGAATGATGGCTATTATGAAGACAAACAACAATAAGTGTTGACAAGGATGTGGGGGAAAAAGGTACACTCATACATTGCTGGTGGGACTGCAAATTGGTGCAGCCAACATGGAAAGCAGTATGGAGATGCCTTGGAAATCTAGGAATGAAACCATCATTTGACCCAGCTATCCTTCTCCTAGGTCTATACCCAAAAGACTTAAAAACCACATACTACAAGGAAAAAGCCACCTCAATGTTTATAGCAGCACAATTCACAATATCTAATCTGTGGAGCCAACCTAGAGGCCCTTCAGTGGATAAATGGATTAAAAAATGTGGCATATATACAATATGGAATTTTACTCCACAATAAAAGAGAAAAAAAATCATGGCATTTGCAGGTAAATGGATGGCATTGGAGAGATATGCTAAGTGAAGTTAGCCAAACTTCTGTCCTAACCTACAAAACTGTAATATCTTAGTTTAAACCACCAAGTTTGTGGTAATTTGTTATATCAACAATACCATCATTATACAATACCTATTAAATCAAGCTTTTTGATTCATTTCTCTACCTCTTCTATATACTATTATGATTTTAATCTGATATGTCAATTTATAAAGCCAGTTTCATGGATCATTGGATTTTATCACATTTTCCTTACATTTCTATCACACATATAAAATCTATGTATATATTTCAAAGCTAAACTGGTTGTTAATTGAATAACAGATATATATTCTTACTATCTCCAAGATTACAGCGGTGCCTCATAAGCTTAGTAGTGGGGCAATGTTCTTACCAGATTCTACACAAAAATCTGTCATTTGCTCCTGATGCTTCACCAAAACAGGATTGGCTACTACCCAAGCCTTTCTTCAGGTTTTTCTATTTACTCTATTATATGTCCAAATTTTTAAAATAAACTTATTTTTCTTAATTAAGCTGGTAAGTTTTTCTGTTCTTCCACCTGTCTCTGGTAAGTGTAGCCTTTGTTTCAGAACTAGTAACTTCATGAGGAAAATAAAAATAATTTTCAAGGAATCTGGTATATACTAAAGAATAAACCACATAGAAACTTTATAATAAAGTCCAGAATCATGACACCTAAATTGCATATGTGGGTTTTACCTGGGTTCATCTATACCTGAACTGATTGTTTAATTGTGAATTAATAAAGTTCCAGACTGATTATTTATTGATTTATTTTTTGTTGTGATGCAAAATATTAAACCTCAGGTC